GTCATAAATATTAATGAAAACCCCAAAATAACTGATCATGCGTAGGTCAAAAACACTGCTTTCTCTTTGTGAACATGTACTTATAATTTATCTTCAGATTATATCATGTTTTTTACTAGTAAAGTTATCTCATATATACTTATATATGTGAATGACAAAAAAAGAAAGGTAATGTCTCAAAATACACATACAGATACATTTATATAAATTTTTTTTTTTTGAGACTGAGTCTTGCTCTATCACCCAGGTTAAAGTGCAGTGGAGTTATCACAGCTCACTATAGCTTTAATCTCCTGGGCTAAAGCAGTCCTCCCACCTCAGCCTCCTGAGTGCTGGGACTACGGGCACGCACTCCCATGCCTGGCTAATTTCTAATGGTTGTTAGTAGAGGTGCAGTCTATGTTGTCCAGGCTGGTCTTAAACTCCTGAACTCAAGCAACCTCCCACCTCAGCCTCCCAAAGTACTCTGATTGCAGGCGTGAGCCACCACGCCCAGCCAAGTTGTTTTATTTTTTACAATGGACTGAATTATATCAGCAAGTCAGGGTCTACCACAGAGAAACTATAAAGTCTACCGTGAGTTCCAAAGTACTCTTCCCCAAGAAAAGTTTGATAACCACCAGTGATTAATGAACAATATCCATGACCAATGGTCGCTTTAAGATGTGGTATGGCCAGGCAAGGAACTAGGGTAAGAAATAACTGACCCTATTCCCCAGTCTATACCTCTTGGGCCCTGAACTCACCTTGCTGTTGACACAGTAAGGGTGATAGCACTGAGAGCACTGCGAACACGCAAGGAGGTGGCCCTCTGCACCCCGGCCAAAGCTGCCACATACCACACACATGTCCTGGGGAAACACAAAGAAACTGGAATGTCCAACATCTCCCCATCCCACTCAGATTCAGCCTACTATGACACTACAACACTGATTTGAGACCAGAGAGTCAAGAACCCCATCCCACAGCATTAGGACACTGTAAGCTACCAAGGAACCCTGCTCCTTCCTAGGATGCCTAACTCACCTAATCAGGTCACTTGAATTTGTAAAGCCTGACATGGGCAAAGGCAAGAAGAAATTAAAGGATGATAAGATGGAGTAAAGACTGGTCAGGTGAGAATCACATATGTGACAAAATTCTATCAACTTGAAGATTTTTCAAGTAAGGACACATACAAGCTCCCTAAACTATAAACTTCAATAGGGCAAAGACCTTTTCACTGCAATTTCTCTAGCTCTTAGCTTAGTGCCAAGCTCAGAAGAAACACTCAAGAGAAATGTGATGGATGGACAAATAAACAACATGAGTAGAATTCATGGTCTGTTTTCTCATTAGCTGAGTATTCCCAGAAGCAGGTTCCCAGTTTTCCCCATCTATCCTCTCACCAAAACACACACATACACAACATTATGGCCTTGTCCTGGCCATAATGTTCAGTGTTCCAGGTCTCACTGTATGGTACCTGGTCTCACTGTATGGTACCTGCATTAGGACGAATTTGTCTGTGTTGGAGAAGAGAACCACGGTATTCTGCATGGTGTCATCATCTTCTTCCTCCTCCTCCTTACTGGGAGAGCTATCAATGTCAGCAACCTTATGGGCAGAGAGTTGTAGAAAGTGAGGCAGATAAATCTGCCCCCACCAAGCTATTTTCCTCTTTGGTGTTGGGGGAAAAGGGTGTCAACCCCTGGCTAAGATGAAGGCCAAAAGCCAGGAAAAAGAGACAGAACACCCCAGCTCCCAAATTGGGCCTCAGCCTGATAGCAGAGATTTCAGAAAAACCTGGGAGCCAAGTGGAGAGGAACACAGACATAGCCAGACAGGTCCCAGACGAGCAGGCAGGTAGGCAAGCATGCAAGCGACTGGCAGCACTCAGACGGTGCTAAAGCATGCTTGGGGGATGGGAGGAATAGGAGGCCTCTCCTTACTACCAGAGTCTCAATGGAAGAAGCAGTTGACTTTAGCCGGGCCCGTCCTCTACCACGTCCTCCATGGGCTCCTCCACGAGGCCGGCGTCTCCCTGGAAAACTACTGCTACGGCCCTGAGTGAAAGAAGGGAGCAATGACAGGAGCATGTCAAGGGCTAGTGTGTTGGGCTTACATGCTTAGACGGAACAAGTGACAAATGGACACAGTAAAACAGAGTAAAAACGGAACAAGTGACAAATGCCCAGGAGTCCCACTCAGGGCAGGGGAAAAGGCCAAGCTCCCCGATATTAACAAGTACATAGCTCTAGCCCAAACCCATTCTTCCCCTCCCAAGAGTGGCTGACATAGACAAGGAGAAAAAACAGTGGCTTAAAAGAAGCAAGTTTCTGGTCCCGATTCTATTACTGAGGAACCATGAATCTGGGCAAGTTATTTATCCCTTCAATATATTATTATTCTCCTTAATAAAATAATTGGTATAAAGGATTTCCAAGTCTAGTATTCAAAAAGCACGGTGAGAAGCTATCAGTGACACAGGACTGTACCTCTAACAGTGGCCTAGCGCTGATCACATGCAGCAGCTAGACAGCCCCTCACCTGTTTGATGCGGGAACGGGCTGGGGAGCTGCGTCGCCGCCCCTTCTCCCCATCAGCTTTGCCTCCACTGATAGCTGTCCCGGCATCACACAATAGTGAGTCATCAGTCTCTGGCAGTGAGTCGGTACAGAGCCGTAGGGAGCCCTCATCTCGGGCTGGACTAACATCCGTAGAGACCCCCAGCTCCATGGACAGGGAGCCACCCCCCTCTGGGTCAGGAGAGCCCAGGAGGGGCTCTGAGCCAGGAAAACTGGCACTGGCATCGCCCTGGCTCAGATTAGAGATCTCGTTAACGATGTCGGATTTGATGAGAGTGGGTGGTGTGGGGGCCACCGATGCACGTGGCTCTTCCTGTTCTTCACATGGTGAGCCCTGCCCTGCTGCCTGCTTGCATTCGGGGTAGACCTCCATAGGGGTCACAGGGGCCAGCTCCTCGGGGTCCGGGAGCACAGGGGAGCCTTTAAGTTCACTAGCCAAACTGCCAGGCGTCTGTCCAGCCTCTGGCTGTGAACCTGGAGCATCAGTCCCATCCAGAGGGGCTATGTCTTCCCCTAGGCCAGAGAAGTCATCCAGGGCTGGGGCAGGGCTGGGGGCGGGACAGGAAAGGTCGCCCATTGGGGAAGGGAGGGGACTGGTGGCACTGGGTTCCAAGGCTGGGCATTCAGGTTCTGGAACTTTCCCAGTATCCATTTCGTGTGACTCAGCCTCATCTGAGACCCCCACTGCCTTCCCTATGGGACTCAACGGGGAGGGAACAGACAGTGGCAGGGCAGGAGGGGAGCACTGGGAAGGAGGGGAGTTTTGAGGAGGCAGGGAATGCTGAAGGAGTGGTGAACACTGAGAGGGAAGGGGCTCCATCAGGATGAGAGAAGCCGGTCCCATTGGGGAGCCTGGGGATGGGGGAAGGATCATAGGGGGGACAGGCTCAGGGTCAGTGCAGTTAGCTTCTGGTGGAGGGCTGATAGGTGTCTCCAGGATGGGGGCAGCCAAGGGTGACTCAGGGTCACTGTCCCCTTTGGCACCAAAGGGGTACTCTAACTCCCTCAAAGGAGACAGGGCCGGTGGGGCCACAGCTGTGATAATGGGTGAGAGTGGAGGAGGAAGGGGATCTGGAAGAGAAAAAAAGAGGGGCTCTTAGATTAGACATGCCATGAAAAGTTGAAGAGTTATAGCTGTCCCAGGGTAAGAGAGTGCTAACATCCCCTTACCTGGTGGCATCAGCTGAGGCGACAAGGATGGCTCCCCAGACGGGGACAAGGGCAGCTCCTCAGGCAGAGGGGACAGAGGTGGTTCCCCAGGTTCAGACAGGGCCGGCTCTCCAAGCAAGGGAGATAAGGGTGGCTCCTCAGGTGGAGGGAACAAGGGCAACTCCTCAGGCACAGGGCATTGGCCTGGCTCCTCAGGGGGCTCTTCAGGCCGAGGGGACAGGGGTGGCTCCTCAGGCTGAGGGGACAGGTGCAGTTCCTCAGGCTGAGGGGACAGGTGCAGTTCCTCAGGCTGGGGGGACAGGCGTGGTTCCTCAGACTGGGAGGACAGGTGCGATTCCTCAGGCTGGGGAGACAAGCATGGCTCCTCAGGCACAGGAGACAGGTGTGGCTCCTCAGTCTGGGGGGACAGGCGTAATTCCTCAGGCTGAGGGGACAGATGTGGTCCCTCAGGCTGGAGAGATAAGTGTGGCTCCTCGGGCCGGGGGGATAGGCGTGGCTCCTCAGGCTGAGGGGACAGGTGCAGCTCCTCAGGCTGGGGGGACAGGTGCGGCTCCTCAGGCTGGGGGGACAGGTGCAGCTCCTCAGGCTGGGGGGACAGGTGCGGCTCCTCAGGC